AGTCCCAGCTACTTGGGAGGCTGAGGCAAGAGAATCGCTTAAGCCTAAGAGTTGGAGGTTGCTGTGAGCTGTGATGTCCTTGCACTCTACTGTGAGGGTGACATAGTGGAACACTGTCTCAAAAAAAAAAAGAGAGAGAGAGAAGAAAACAAAAAGAAAGCTTGGCTAGAAGTAAGCTGGGAAAAGTGGAAAGAAGGAAACTCAAATGACTGCCAAAGCAAACAAATAAACCAAAACCATGACTTTAAACATTTAACACTGAAGAGAATGTTGCAGTCTGAAAATGAAAATGAAACCTGGAAATAAAATTACAGTCACACCTTAGAGCTATTATGGGTCCAGTTCCAGACCACCACAATAAAGCGAATATTCCACAAAGCAAGGAACAAAATTTTTTTATTTCCCAGTGCCAAAAAAGTTATGCTTACACTACACTGTCATCGATTGAGCGTGCAATACTATTACTACTTTTTAAAAAGTTACTTGCATTAACTTAAAAATACTCTACTGCTAAAAAATGCTACTGACAAAAATCTGAGGTTTCAGCAAGTCATAGTCTTTTTGGTGTTGATGGCTGCTGACTAATCAGGGCGAGGGCGGTGGTTACTGAAGGCTGGAGTGCCTACAGAAGTTTCTGGAAGGATAAAGTTTGCTGCAACTCTTTCTTCTACAAAAGCTTTTTCTAAAGCATACAATGCTGTTTGATTGCATTTTATCCACAAGAGAACTCTGTATAAACTAGAGTCAGTTGTCTCACGTCCTGCTTCCACCTATGGACTAAATTCTTTGTTGTCATTTGAACAAGGTCACACATCTTCACGGGTAATAGATTCCATCTCAAGACACCCCTTTCCTTCCTCATTCATAAGAAGTTATTCCTCATCTGTTCAAATCTTCAGTCTCCACTTCTAATTCAAGTTCACTAGCTATTTCCACCACATCTGCTGTTGCTTCATCCACTAAGTTCTTGAATTGCTCAAAGCCATCTATGAGGGTTGGAATTAACTTCTTCCAAACTCCTGTTCATGTTGGTATTTTGACCTCCCATAGTCTCACTCTGTTGCCCTGGCTAGAGTGCTATAGCATCACAGCTCACAGCAACCTAAAACTCTTGGGCTCAAGTGATACTCTTGCCTCAGCCTCCCAAGTAGCTGGGACTACAGGCACCTGCCACATGCCTGGCTAGTTTTTCTATTTTTAGGAGAGACAGGGTCTCATTCTTGCTCAGGCTGGTCTTGAGCTCCTAAGCTCAAGCAATACACCTGCCTCAGTCTCCCAGAGTGCTGGGATTACAGGCGTGAGCCACCTGAGATGGTCTTAATGTCATTGGGAATAAAGAATCCTTTCCGAAAGGTTTCCATTTACATTGCCGAGATGCATCAGAGGAATTGTAATCTGTGGCATGTACAGCCTCATGAGAGGTATTTCTTTAATAATACATTAAAGAATAAGAAGACATGGACCACAGAAGGGATGTTATGTTATGTTAGTACAACATCCCCTTGTACATCTCCATCAGAACTCATGGGTCACACCATTGTCAATAAGCAGTTATATTTTGAACAGAATATTTTTTCTGAGCAATAAGTCTCCACAGTGGGCTTAACACATTCAGTAAACCACATTATAAACAGTTCAGCTGTCACCCAGGCTTTGTTTTCCCACTTATGGAGCACATGCAGAGTAGATTTGGCATAATTCTTAAGTGCCCCAGGATTTTTGGAATAGCAAATGAGCATTGGCTTCAACTTCATGTCACCAGCTGCATTAATCCCTAACAAGCGAGCCAGCCTGTCCTCTGAATCAATCAGGCAGGCATTGATTTCTCCTTTGCAACTATGAATATTCCAGCTGGCATTTTCTTTTTCTTTCTTTCTTTTTTTTTTTTGCAGTTTTTGGCCGGGGCTGGGTTTGAACCTGCCACCTCCAGCATATGGGGCCAGTGCCCTACTCCTTTGAGCCACAGGTACCGCCCTTTTTTATTTGAGACAGAGCCTCAAGCTGTCACCCTGAGTAGAGTGCTGTGGCATCACAGCTCACAGCAACCTCCAACTCCTGGGCTCAAGTGATTCTCTTGCCTCAGCCTCCCAAGTAGCTGGGAATACAGGTGCCCACCACAACGCCTCACTATTTTTGGTTGTAGTTGTCATTGTTGTCTGGCAGGCCTGGGCTGGATTTGAACCTGCCAACTCTGGTGTATGTGTCTGGCGCCTTAGCAACTTGAGCTACAGGCACCGAGCCCCAGGTGGCATTTCCTTTCAATAGGAGGCTATTTGTCTACTTTGAAAATCTTTAGTTTACTGTAGCTGTTTTCATCAATTATCTCAGCTAGATCTCTGGGATCACATGCTGCAGCTTACACATCCACACGCTGCTTCCCCTTGCATTTGTATGTTATGGAGATGACTTCTTGCCTTTACTGCATGAACCAACCTCTGCTAGCTTCAAAGTTTTTTTCTGCTGTTTCCTCACCTCTTTCAGATTTCACAAAATTGAAGAGAGTTAGGGCCTGGTTCTAGATTAGGCTTGGGCTTGAAGGCATGCTATGGCTGGTTTGATCTTCCAGCCAGATCACTCAAACTCTCTTCCCTCCTTTGCGTTCAACCTTGACTAACTGTTTGGCATGAGAGGCCTCCCTGTGGGCCTGTCTCAGCTTCAACAGAGGCCAGCTTAGGGTTATTAACTGGCCTAATTTCCCAAGGAGAGTAATAAGATAGACAGGGGAGTGGTTGGTAGATAGAGTAGTCAAAATACACATCACATGTATTAAGTTCATCATCTTATATGGGCAAGGTTCATGGCACCTGGGAACAATTACAAAAATCAATGAGCGCTGAGCACATCACCCAAGCAGATACAATAAAGTAGGACAGATCACAAGAATTACGTGACACAGAGGCACAAAGTGAGCACGTGCTGTTGGAAAACTGGTGCTGATAGGCGTGTTTGACTCACAGTTGCCACAAACCTTCAATGTGTAAAGACCAGTCTCTGTGAGGTACAATAAAACAAGGTATACCCGTAACTTCTATGAACCCCTTAGTGAGTGATGCAAGAGCTCTCAAGAGCGATTTATTTCTTCAGAACTGACACATAGAACTTAATACTTAGGCTTTAGCTAAAGAGAAGAGCCCGGCTCCAAAGGAGTGTCACCTTTAACTTTTAAAGGCCAAAGAGTTTTCTTTGGCCATTATTTTTACTTTGAAAACTGAAGCCATGGCTCGGCGCCTGTGGCTCAAGCGGCTAAGGTGCCAGCCACATACACCTAAG